TTCGTAACGAAGCGCCCAAACTATTGGCTTTTAGATACCGGGTGTTCGGCAGAGCTGGTCGATTTCACAAATACACGGTATGGTCATAACTTCGAATAGGAAACTTCAAGACTGGAAACGGGTTCTTTGTTACACATCCTTCTATCTGTTGTGGTTTCTGACCAAAAATTAAAGAAGAAACACAAATTTTGGGTCTCTTGGGAACGTAGCTCTCAAAAAATCATTTTTGTGCTTTCGGTTTATTTGAGAAAAGATGTTTTTTGTCACCTCTACTACTCACTATCTTATATTAATACACCCTATACATAAGAAATGTGTATTCAGGGTGAAAATATATGGACCCATAAATATATTTTTAAAACTCGCCTCGTCGCCGGGAAGCCACCTTGTGCTCTCTTCTACCAAAGTAACGCCCGAATAACAGCCGTGATAGCTAAGCGTCGCCATTCAGCGTTACTCTATTTAAATATGGGCAGAGGTTCCTGCAAAAGCAGTTTATTGTATCAAAAATTGTTTAAAAAAATGTAAGTAAATCTACATGTTTAAAACACGTCAAAAACTTCCAAGTGAGGTGCGAAATTCTATAAATATTAGTATTCAAATATTTATCCCGCCTTTTATTTGAATCTTTGAATTACTTAAGCCTACGAATTATGCCAGTTATATGATTATTCGAATTATCTATTCGCATATTTGAATAATCAACTATTAAAACAATTGGAATATTTCAGTGCTTGTCCTTGTGTATTCAAATATTTAAATAATCATTTACACATTCTGTCGAAATTTTATTTAGGATAGTTCAATTCCATGTTGTGCTAGAGTTATGTCTTTATTATCTACATAAAACGTTAGTCATAACCCATAAACGTATTATGTACATAAAATGAGATACAGAATGTACACATAACAGAACGGACAGCAGAGGCATTTCTGAGGAATCGATTATACTGAATTGATCAAAAAGCATAGAAATTTACGGCCAAAGCATTGCAAAATTCAAAAGTTATAACGGTAAATGCACCTGCAACCCTGTAGAAATCAACGCATTCGCACAGAATCCTAGGAATATTGCAAAGTACTTGGAGTTACCGAATGCGAACTGCATACGGGTGCCGATATTAGGATGCTTACAAGACTCGTCGATGAGAAAAGTGACGCAGTAGCATCAGAGGGTCATCGGTTGGAACCTTCAGTATTTCTACAAGTGAATCGACGGTCAAGACCTCAAATTCTGGACTTCCGCAATTACCGGAAATTCAAATTGTAGATTTTCTACCTATTAATACAGTGTAGTACAAATTTGTTTGGTTTATGTTACTATCTTGGCATTCGCCATGGCGCCTTTGTGGCGCGATAAATCGTGCTGTAATAAAAATCGGGTCATAATATGACAGAATATAATAGTATATTACATGATAAGGGGGTAATAGTGCGTATTGCAGACGAGTAGAAAAATTGCGCAGGATGCAGATTGCAGAGTGCGGGAATTCTACGAACCTCTAACACGCAAATCACAACCAAATTACGTACCATACTTTTTCTACGACCTCCGTGAATTTCGAAATATAAGGCAAAACTCAAAACAACGTTTGTTGATAGTTTTGACATTTGTAGATAATTTATCACTTCCAAACGTACATGATCTGTTCTATTTTTTTTCATTCCGCACGGCTAATAGTTATATCGTGCCTTTATAGTATATTAAGTATGGAGAACGGTAAGGGATTTTTACCGTTCGAAGACAATTGTTTGGAGGAGGAGCGAAGCGACGACTCCAATTATTGTCTGAGAACGGTAACCCTTAACGTTCGACGTGCTTATAACATTTTTTGCGCGATCGAAATTAAAATTATCCAACCAATATAAATATGCACTAAGAAATTAACGAGCAGAATAAATCGAAATAATCGAAGTGGTTTGGTGTACATCAACATCACTAGGTAACCAGTTTAAATGTCAAAATTGAAATTAATAATTTCATAAAAATGTGCATGTGTCTGATGTAGTTTACTAGCTTTGCACTTCCTTTATGACTTTATGAGCGTCTTGCTATAGGAAACAACAGCACAAATTGTACGTTTAATGTACCTAACAATAATTAAAGATTAAATGTAATGTAAGACTGTTGATTTTTAAAAAGGCGTCGGTAAGTATTTTTGCTGTTCTGTTTTTAGATCGGTAAGTAATTTTGGCGTCGTCGTAATCATAGCAACTGGTAAATTCTACGTACTGTCATAGAAACATCCATGGTAAATAGTCAGAAATGACCGATCGCGCAAAAAATTATATACGTTAGAGCTCTTTTTCAGGGAGGTGGTAGAAAAACAATGTTTAGTGTCTCAAAGACTACTTGACTACAAACATTTTTAAATAGCTCTCCAGTCATATATCAAGGATTGTATATGTATTTGGTGCTATTCAAGGTTTTTGAAGAGCGGGTATACTATGTTAGGTTTAATTCGCCGAACTCCTCTCGAAATGCGATTTTCACGTTGCGATTCATTCCAATTTTCCCCTTAAAGTTATACATTGTTAACATAATTATTAACTGGCCCTGACAGTAGTAGGTACCTAAAACTAAAAGTAAAGTATAACTTTTGTTTGAAAAAGTGATATTAAAAAACTGTTCGATAATTTTTTCTTTAACTTATGAAGTAGATATGTACACAACAAATTTCGTGGAATTCTCTCAATTTTCGTTGTCCGGCCAAGAATTGCAGTGGAACTTTTTTTTTCGAATTTTCAAAAACTAATTTCAGATTCGCAATTTTCATGTTCAAAACCCCCCATTTAGGGCACCTTTCCAAATGTTTGCAAATTCGGAAAGCGCGCGCATACCCAAAAACCTATTCAACGAAGTGCCACCAGTCTTTCTAACTCTAATGGTTGCTGAGAAAAAAATTAAAGAAGAAATGCAAATTTCACCTTTTTTTGGGGGTGGCTCCTAAACGAAACAAGTTGGTCCCTCGGATTATTTGGAAAAAGTGCTTGTTTTAATCTCCTCTACCACCCAATTTTTTTACATAGATAGGTACTTATATGTAACACCTTGTATATACTTTAATAATATCACAGTCAAACCAACATCCCGAGAGCCGTGATACCCACCGTGAGACATGCAAATGGATAGGGATAGGTACCTTGTCTGTAGATAACGAGAGAAAAACGCAATATACCAAAGCATTATTTGTATTTTCATTAAAGGTAACAGAATTCTGCATTTTATAACGATTTTTATGGTATAATTGACCCATGCTTTATTCTCGTAACACTTAAATAACTAAGTTTTTGTGTTGTTGAATCCAATCACTTTAATTAAATTTGAGCTCATTTGAGGGGTTGTTACTGCAGGCCAATTGAAATTTTTCTATACATGTACAAAGTGGTGCGTGTAATAAGCGGTATGATCCATCATAATTAAGGGTTATTAACAAAATTTCTGTATAGGGGAGTTCATCTGCAGTACCTATATCTACCCTATTCTTTGTCAATGAGGGCTGCATAAATGTAGGTAGAAACATTTTCAAAACATGTATATAGGTATTGCTAAATGCGTAGGTATACCTACTGTTTAAATGATTGCTTTCACAATCTCGAAGCGGTAAAGCTGGAATTAAGGGATTTTTTTTAAATACGTGTTGGAGTTACAAAATCGAATATGTGCCCAATGCCACAAGTTGTCGAAGGGGAAGTCTACCTGCGTGTAATAAACAATCATTAATGGCAGCCCGTGTTTTTTTGCATTCGTATGTCGTAAGATAGGTACTTTTTACGTTTTTGCATTTAGAGAATTAGGATGTAGTCCGATTATAATCTTTTTTGTTATTCTGCACGGGTAATGTAATCCACTCCATAATTCATTGCTGGAAAATCTAACAAGGTACTTACCTATGATAAATAAAATAAACAAGCAAAGTACGTCGGTGCTTGAACTAATATAAAACAATTATTTGGTGGAGCTTTCATCAATGACCTAAAGGTTCAATTATGCGATTATCAAGTGGATTTACTGCTCAGTTTATTAGTGGCGATTACGGAACTTTTTAATTACACCACGCCATTTTTTACTACAAGTACCTAAGGCATTCTGATTTTTTGCGCTACTTATTTCTACGTCTAGTGGCATTCTAGCATTTTATTTCTAAACATTTAGAATTCGACGTATAAATTCAATTAAAGCTGAGTTTTTATGAAATCTGTTCGGGAATTGTACGTTTATTGTGGCTGCTTTGTGATACGAAATGGCTTCTCCCCTAATTTCACCTTGGGAGCTCACAAAAAGAATAAACTAAAAAACTTTGCGGTTGTGAACAAAATTGTATCTCTTAGTAGAAAAATTGATCAGGTCATTACCATGCCTTTATAGCGACAATAAATTATTTATGTAAACCAATTAAACTAATATAAAATCCACAATTGAATCTAAATGACGTAATTTCGGTCAGTTTAAGAGAAAACTAGAAGTGAACTAATAAGTTACAATTAAAATAGAGCCGTAAATTTAAATAAACTGAATTTTAAATAGATGTATGACATGTATAATTAACACTTGGAGATAAACTCCGCGCAACTTACCACTGGAGCCGTTTAGATTATTTCCAAACTGGAAAATTGGAAATTTAATTAATTTACGATTACCTACTGTTAAATTATACGTGTTGTTACAAAAAATACGTTATGGAAAGGGGCAATCTAAATTTATTTAGTGGTTGTTCGATAAAAAGTAAAAGCAAACTCGTGTTAAGTTTATGAATATAAATTGGATAAGTTCGGGCTGATTTATGATTGCAACTGACATTTTGTAGGTGGAGTGTTTGTGCAAATTAAATCTACAATTCTTAGTTTTGATGAAATTTGTTTGCAGGTGCTTAGCTTATGAGTTGTTAAATTCATCCAGTCAGTAGCGCCGCTCTTCCGTGGTAACTTGCGGAACTACCCAGCGCTTGCGTGAGGGAAGAATTACTACCTTTCTGTATATACTGCAGTAGCGTGTTGAGTTCTGTTAGTTTCGTGTCAGATGCTGTTCGAGAAAGGATGTATAACGTGTTATTACATACCTTCTTATGCACACACAAGTTTGTAATTAACGTTCGTGGACGAAGTATGACTGTGATATGAACTGTAGTTAAATGTGAAAATGCCGTGTGTTTTACGTAATGAATCATGAAATTAGTGCAAATGATCGACGGTTTTTCGGTAACGTGATTAATAATTTGTGCTAAGAAAAATACTTCACAATGTGGTTACAAACGTGCGCGTTTTTACTGGTGGTAACCGGAGTTTATGCAAAATTCGAAGGGCCGGAGCAGTGTACGTGGGTAGCCGACAATAACAGTACTTCAACTGGAAAATTTTTGGTTACGTGCAAATTTAGAACGTTGGACGGTTCCGGCACCAATCTTAGCGCACTTCCAGTTGAAGGTACTTCCAAATTAAAAATCCAATGCAGCGACATGTTGTACTTTGAGAGCGAACTTCCCTCACACGGTCTTCAACGTCTGCATGAATTAGCAGAACTACAAGTCGAAAATTGTAAAATCTTAAATTTGGCCGCCAACAGTTTCGAAGGTTTAGTTAACTTGAAGAAGCTTTCGATTAATAGTCGTAACGTGGATTGGGGATCGGGGAAGGCCTTACAATTAACAGGATCGAGCTTTGCGGGACTTAGAGAACTACATAGTTTAAGCCTCGCCGATAACAACATCCGCAATTTACCAGACGACATCTTCTGCCCGCTTACTAATCTGCACACCCTAAATTTGACACAGAATCGCATAAGGAGCTCCGAGAGGATCGGATTTGGCGATACAACTGCTCCCAGGTCCGGTTGCGGTAGCAGCGATCTACAAATTCTTGATTTGTCGTATAATGAGATACGGTTACTCCCCGAGGACTCTGGATTGTCTCGTTTACGACGGTTGCAGCAGCTCGACTTGAAGTACAATAATATAAGTGAAATCTCCGGCGAAGCTCTTACCGGTCTTGTTTCACTACGCGTCCTCAATTTGGCCAACAATAAGATCGAAATGTTGCCCCAAGGAATGTTTGCCAGTGCTCGTGAACTTCGCGAAGTACATTTACAAAACAACTCGCTATTTTCTCTTGCCAAAGGGTTGTTTCATAGGTTGGAACAACTTTTAGTGTTAGATTTATCGGGAAACCAATTAACGAGCAGTCACATCGATGCCGGGACATTTATTGGACTAATTCGTTTGATTGTGCTTAATTTATCGCATAACGCACTAACGCGCATCGACGGTCGCACGTTTAAGGATCTCTTCTTTTTGCAAATCTTGGATTTAAGGAACAATTCAATCGGATTTATTGAGGATAACGCGTTTCTCCCGTTATACAATTTACATACGCTAAATCTCGCCGAAAATCGTTTGAATACAATCGGGCCTCTATTATTTAACGGGTTATTTGTTTTGAGTAAATTGACGCTTAACAATAATTTAATCGTAAGCGTCGATTCGCAAGCCTTTCGCAATTGCTCCGATTTAAAGGAGCTGGATTTGAGTTCGAACGCGCTGCAGGACGTCCCCGACGCGATCCAAGAGTTAGCATTTTTGAAAACGTTAGACTTGGGCGAAAATCAAATTAATTCGTTTCGGAATGGATCGTTCAAGAATTTAAATCAACTCACCGGTTTGAGGTTAATCGATAATAACATTGGTAACCTATCGAAGGATATGCTTTGGGATTTGCCCAGTTTGCAAGTCCTGAATTTGGCGAAGAATAAAATACAAAGTATCGAGCGGGGTACGTTCGAGCGGAATACGCAAATTGAAGCCATTCGTTTGGACGAAAACTACCTTACGGATATAAACGGGGTATTTGCAACTCTGGCCAGCTTACTATGGTTAAATTTATCCAAAAATCATTTAGTGTGGTTCGATTACGCTTTCATACCGAGTAATTTGAAGTGGTTAGATATTCACGGCAACTTTATAGAACATTTAGCTAATTATTATAAAATTCAAGATGAAATTAAAGTGAAAACTTTGGACGCTAGTCACAATAGAATAACGGACATTTCTCCTATGTCGGTACCAAATAGTATTGAGTTGCTCTTCATTAATAATAATTTTGTAAAAACCGTGCACGCGAATACGTTCCTAGATAAAACTAGTCTGGTGCGGGTCGATATGTACGCGAACGATTTAGTGAATATGGACTTGAACTCTCTGAGACTTTCTCCGGTACCAACTAACCATTCTCTCCCAGAGATCTACATCGGAGGTAATCCCTTTCATTGTGATTGCACAATGGAATGGCTGCAGCTCATTAACAACATGTCAACGGTTCGCCAATATCCTCGTGTAATGGATTTGGACAACGTCGTGTGTCGAATGACACATTCGCGAGGTATGACCCATATGCCTCTTACTAGAGCTAAACAAAGTGATTTTCTCTGTACTTACGAAACGCACTGTTTCGCCCTGTGCCACTGTTGCGACTTCGACGCCTGCGATTGCGAAATGACCTGTCCTACGAATTGTTCCTGTTACCACGACCAAACCTGGAATACCAACGTCGTCGATTGTTCCGGCCAAAACGTAAACGAAATTCCACATCGTATTCCCATGGACGCCACCGAAGTGTACCTAGACGGAAACGACTTCAAAGAACTCCAAAACCACGTTTTTATCGGTCGAAAAAACATGCGAGTGCTTTACGTAAATAATAGTGGAATTGAAACGATACAAAATCGAACTTTCAACGGTCTAAACAACCTGCAAAATTTACATTTAGAGGACAACCGCATACGCGAATTAAAGGGGTACGAATTCGATCATTTAGCGCAATTGAAGGAGTTGTATTTACAGAATAATTTAATCGCCCATATAGGTAATTTAACTTTAGTGCCCCTTAAATCGTTAGAGATCCTACGTTTGGATGGGAATAAGCTGGTCGCGTTTCCCGTTTGGCAATTATCTCAAAATTTACGTTTAATTGAGGTAACCTTAGGCAACAATCATTGGTCGTGCCGTTGTAAATTTCTACAGGAGTTATCTGCGTGGGTTAGTGATAATGCCGGTAAAGTAGTGGATAGTTCCGATATTACGTGTTACAATATGGATTCGAAACCTCCGCAGCGTCGCGAAATTGACCTAAACAGCACCGCTTGCAGTGACTATTACGCGGGTGGTTCGGTTATAGATAGCATGTTTATCTCGGATTATCTTCCGATGGCGGTTGTGACTTTGTGCATTGTACTGTTATTGCTATTGGGGTTGGTGTTTTGGTTTTCGTTCCGCGATTCGGCACGTATTTGGTTATACTCGCGTTATGGGGTTCGACTGTGCAGTTTTCGCGCGACGACCGCGAAACAGTGCGAGGACAGAGACAAATTGTACGACGGTTTCGTTTGTTACAGCCCGAAGGACGAAGAATGGGTTGTGCAATCTTTAGCCGTCGAGTTAGAGCCGAGTTTCCAATTGTGTTTACATTACAGAGACTTGCCGCACGCCGCGTATTTACAGCATGCCGCCCCAGCCGTTTTAGAAGCCGCGGAAGCCAGCCGTAGGGTTATTTTAATCTTAACTCGAAATTTCCTTCAAACGGAATGGTCGAGGTTTGAACTGCGCCAAGCCCTACACGAAGCTTTGAAGGGTAGGGTGTTTAAGTTGGTTATTTTAGAAGAGGGTCCTATTCCGGAGGCCGAACTCGATCCGGAGCTAAGGCCGTATTTAAAAACCGGTCAACGTGTGCGTTGGGGTGAAAGACGATTCTGGGAAAAGTTGCGTTACGCTATGCCTTCGGTCGAACCTCGAGGCAAAATAAATGCAAATTACCGCCGTAATGTAAATAATTATACGATAGACTCGCGTGTGGTAGCCAACGGCACGCATCATAACACTTATCCTGAAAAAATTAAGAATCCTCCGCCGCCATCCCCTGGTTTGCAAATGTTTCCGCCGCCGGCGTACACGGCGGGGATGTCTCAGGAAGTAGACGATGCGAACTACTCGTCCGCGACGACCGCGACGCCTTCACCGAAACCGATACGTCGCGTGCAAGAACCACGTCCCCTTTCGGACCACATCTATTCTAGTATCGATTCCGACTACAGCACCTTAGAACGTGGTGGTTCGGGTCGGAGAGGACCCCCATGGAGACCTCAAGTTATGATGCATCATCATTCTGGAGGCGGTAGCGGCCAGGCCTACCTCGTGTGATAACCCCATTGACTGATTAGGCGTAAGAAAGACTTTTTAATAATACTGACTATAAGACTCGCATCGTGTAATTTTTGTTCCCTTATTTTTGTACATTTTTGTACATAGCGATATATTTATTTGATGATGATTTTTTTTTGTATAATTTGTGTATATTTTATACCAGTTGCGAAACGAATAATAAATGCAATGTGAAATTGAAATTGCTTCTTGTTCAAAATGAGTAAGTACATTTTTGATGCATTAATGAATCGTATCTAAAAATGCATCTCATTAGGAATGTAAAAGAGTATTTTCAAGCAACAGTGAACATCTTGTGATCTACTCATCCTAGCGGGAGATCGACATCATTATAAAGCATGACGAGTCTGGGTATTATGTAGGACCACTTAGCGCTCCTAAATCTCAACACAATGTGAATTGCTATCAAAGATACCGCATTGTTTTCTCGTAATAAATTCTAAATTATTTTTGTTCTAAATTATCTAGGTAAGTTCGCCATTCTCCCGAAACTAATCACTTCAACAAGTAGCTGTTGCTAACGAGATCAGAACTTGAAAACTTCCCAGAAGAAATTTCTATTACAATTAAATTATCGGCATCTGCGATTTTTGTGCAAAAACTTCACATTACATCGTATATGAACTGGAAGTAAACTTCAAAAACTTGATTATAAATTCTACACCGCCGTTGCAATACGGAATGTGAACTTGTTCTTTTTCTAAAATTGAAATCACAATTGATCCCAGATTTTATAGCCCATTGTTTAAATAGCGGCATCATTTCATCACAGAGGTAATTTATGTGATAACAAGTTAATACCTTCAGATATTTTGTTAATTAAAAAAGTAGAAATATAGAATGCATAAAGTGAGTCGAGATCCGCTTCGCTCATTAATTAATATCCTTTAAAAGTTGCACCTTCCTTATTAGGTTAATTAGCGGCGAAGATTCCCTTCGTTCCCAATTATATACGAAATACTAGTTAGTGGACAAATAAATAATAGATACCTAGGCTTTTATGCAGGAAACGACATCCTGGACGGGATATTTTGCAACCTCTTTTTATTGTATTTATAAAGAGGAGACACGCGACGTCAACAGTTCTTGCGTAATTGGCAAGAGGAAGATGGCTTTTTAAGAAATAGCAATTACCAGATAATTATTCGACAGCGCTCGGCTTAATCTTCCATTACTATTGACAATGAAATTCAAATTAGTCTTAAATTAAACAAAACAATTTAGATTTTCAAAATCAAATTAAATTTTAAAGGTTTTATTTGACTAAATAGGTTCAGTTCCAAACGAACGTCGAACTCGACCGCTATACAATTTACACAATGGGAATTCTAGAAACAAAAACGTCGTAGAAACTTAACTGCAATCGCCGCAAATCCAACCCTCGGCAGGGCATTTTCTTTTATGCAAATTTGACCAATCCAACTGATATTGACAACGATTGGCGTCAATCGGCGGGAAGAGCCCATAACTAGATACTTTAATTAACATTTAAGCAGAGAAATTCCAAACTTTGTGTTAATTAACTTAACTGCATTTTTCTCAAGCTGCCTTTTATTTTTTTGCGTCTCCTTTCCAAACGGTTAAATGTTAATTAAATTAGATAAATTTTTAAATTTCAAATGTATGGTAGGCTATGTACGTTAATTAAATATTTTCATTATTCCAATAAATGTATGAGAGGGTAGTTATCAAATTAAAACTTCGGTGTGCAACTAGGAAATGTAGAAGTTTATTTTTCGAAATTAGATTTTAAAATTGCCCACCTACCTACTGCTTGCCGAGAACTGAAAGTTTATAATTGCAATTAAATATCAATATGTTGGAACGGAATGTTCGTGAATTCAAGCGTATCGTAATCAAAACTTTTTTAAAAGCGGGTTTAAATTCAAGCAGTTCATGTAAAACGATTCGGTTTATTGTTGATTGGAAATTAAACTCGTTTTTCAATCGTTCATTTATGTACCTACGGACCTATTGGCGATTGCGGTCAGTTTTACGTTCTAGACTTTTGTTCTTCTCATATTTACGCATTTATTTCGTAATTCGTCGCCCCGGCCCCATCTGACTTTACGCATTCAAATAAATGATGAATATTGTTGTAGTCAGATTTAAAAAAGAGGTTTAGAGAAGTATTGTTTACAACTCTATTTCTTTTTATTTTTGAATCATTGGTCTGCAAAGGATATAATTTGCGACTATTTTTATAAGTAACCCCACACATCAAATTCGTCTGCATATTTTCACAATTTTTAAATTTAGCCAAAAGTCTTAGCATTGGAAGTTTAACGTTTTTCAGTTTCACTAAAACGATATACGAGCATATACTTATCAAACAAGATACGAAGAATCACATACGACTTTCAGTAGGGGAGGGGAAATTTTTGCCACTCGCATTGGGAAACCAGACTTTTCATCCGGCTCATATTAAATAACACTGATCCTTGACCAATTGGCGAAGGTTTGACATATCGCTGTCTCTTTTCGTTCCAGGTGGACAAGGAACAGACAGACAGATGGACAAAACCATTATATAAGGGGAATTTTTTTTCTTTCGAAAAACCCCTAAAAACCTCGCTAAAAACCAACCGTAAAAGTTTTATCTGTAACTCAAAGATTAGTTTATTTTATTTTTGGGGCCCTTTTTGGCGCTACAGTAACAGTTTATTATTAAGGTGGGGTTTACAGAAAGTGCAAAAGTTGCCTTGCGATTTCCTCAATAACTTTGTTTCGAGGTAAAAAAATGAACCTCTGTTAACGACCGATGGTTGCTAAAGGTTTAAGCGAGGGTTTAAGCTTGTGAGTGAAGTTAAATTTGATAAGAAATTATTATCAGTGTGTGATAAAAATGAAAGATATATTTTTTATATGGGTGTTTTTTAACAACTTAAATCCGAAATAAAGGCGAAAGTGCAGGAAATAGCTAAATAATTTTTGTTTCATGCAATTGTCGGAACATTATAAATATTTGAATGAATGTTATTTCAATCAAAAATTTGTACCCAGAAGGCAGTTATTGTGGAAACAAATTTCCAATTTTTCAATGTAAACGCCACCTTAATCATTTTCGTTGTACACGAGGCGAAAAAGGCAATATTGTCAAAAGGTCCTGGTAATATGAAGGAATTATGGAGTAGTATGAGGAAATAAAGGGTCTTTCAACATGAGTGATAAGTTTTATAAGGGGAACTCCGAAGAAGTATGAGGAATTACGAGGTAATACGGGGAAATTTGAAGAAATGTAGGGAAATAAGAGGCAATATTATAGGTACCTATTAGTAATTACGAGGAATTATGTGGCAAAAATCCAGATAATATGATGGTATTACTGATAAAAATAACCTCAATTCGAGTAAAAGATGTTGAGATAGTAAAAGGAAATACGAAATAATACTTTGGGAAATATAGACTGAATATAATTCCTCTATGAGGAAATATTTTGCAAAATAACAGGCGTGGTTTCGCCCTCGGTTGTATAAGCCTAGGTAACCCGATGGGCGAAATCTCGGACGAAATACGCTGTATACATGAAAATGAGGTTTTGTTAAAATATTAGCACAGATTTAAACATTAAATCTGTGATATTAGTTTATCATAAATATAATCGACGCATCTGATTGGTTCTTTCAATTTAATTTGAATGCGATCGAATGCGATCGCGATCGCTTCTGTTGAAAGAGAGGAAATAAAATGAAATCATATTGACGTTCCCATTAAGGGGGCTGATTATTCGTAATTATATGATTTTTCATGAAAATGTGAATTGACGTTTGCTTGTAAAAATCACCGTCTTTGTAAATTAAATGACTTCGGTTGAACAAGATAATACACCGTCCATAAAATGGCTTGTTGCAAAAGCAGAAGAAAAGTTGGTAGGTGCAAATTTCCAAAACTAGTAAAACCTAAAGAATATGAAAAAATCGTTTTCGTGGATGAATTGGAAGCGTCTTCTATCCTTTGGTGCATTTATTTTAAACCTCAAACAATGCTGCGAAGAAATGAAAAAGATTTAGCAGCATACTTACCCTAAATTACACGCGTTTGTTGTGAAAGCTTCAAACAAAGGATAGCCCTATGCCAATACATTTGTTTACGTTTTGCATGTTGTCACATTTGACGGGCATATGAAAACTTTTTCCTCAAAATTCTACCTAACAGGCACAAACGTGTCCAATGTGCTGCGTACACATTTGTTGGTTCGTATATTAAGAAATGCATCCATGAACCTTTATCTAATTATTTAAGAAAGAAATTTGACATCCTAAAAAGTCCTGAACTCCTGACACATATCTTCGAAAAAAGGCAACCGTCGCTGGTTTTCACGCGGTCTTCAAAGTCTTTAAAATAGTATAATATGCGATGGTGATTTTTCACGTTTCCGTTAAAACCATCACGCCTACGTAAATTTAAGGATATTTTTGGAAGAGCACAGTTTCTCCATAGTTTGCTCTAATTCTGTTAAAGGCCAAATACTATTTTTATCTCTGTAGCGGTACCGGAAAGTACATCAGAAATTTTGAATTTACGAACTATTTTTTTCTGCCGTAATACCAATATAACACTTTACTTTACGGACCCATCATCAACTTTATTTTTATATTATATTCGCTATGGCTGGCTGTCTGACTGACTGGCTCTCCGGCTAAGATCTCGGCAATTACAATAGCTAGAAACCTCAAATTTTCACTAAAAGTTTTCTGTTATAGTGTAGATGTGCAGGTTCTATTATGAGTTAGATTAATCGTGAGATCGATAATTTTAAACTAATAAAATTATGATCTGTATTACCAAAAGTGCGCTTTCATCATGCATATGCTGATTTACAACTTTTAAATCCCGCTTGATATTCTTATTTTTTAAAGCCATTTGTGGTCTAGTTGTCTAGTAGTCTTATAAGTGTCTCTTTGACACACTAAAAATTATTGATAATCTCTTTATTTATTTTATTTTGCCTTTATTTTTGAGCGGACGGGGTTTCAGCCAAGGCTGCTCTACCAACCCAACCTACTATACATTTACAAAAAAAATTTGAATTTTGCAGGGAATTTTGCATTGATTTGGCCGCAAATACTTTTTGATCAATTCAGATCAAATCGATTCCTCAAGATTCATTCAAAATAGTAAACGTTCTTGGCCGATGTGTTTTGGTATCGTTAACGTGGACAAACAAAAC